GAAGTCAATATCAGAAAAAAATAATGCAAATGAAAATTATTAACAGATCAAGATCATGCCAATCTCACGCAGCCATTATAGTAAAGAAGCCAGAGAGTGATGTCAGTCAGGGTCACCATGCCTGATACTTCTGAATCAAGTTAATCCAATCAGCATTAATTCATGTAATCACAGGTTGGAGTAGAGCATTAATCCATGTAATTGCAGGTAGGAGTTGCTATATTCAGCTAGCTGCCGATCGATTAGTAGCATCAAATGTGTCCTGACTCCTGAAAAATTGCAATCAAACGGCAGGGTTGTTCACCTAACAGTACCAGATAGTTCAGAGCTAAGAACAATTCATAGTACTGAATTTTGTCATCACTGCTTTGGCTGATCTTTGTGAAAAAAACGCAGCAACGAATCTGCTACCGAACTTGTAGCTGACGAGATGATGATGATGACTTGTCCAGTTGTTCATGCCTGTGACTGAAAATTACACGCAAAAAATGACCGCTGCGTCAAGAAACAGATGGGGAGAGGCTGCAAGTAGGAGGCAACCAAACGTTTTGTTGAATTTGATTATGATATGCTAAGTGCAACACTAAGCAAAGATTAGCATTGTTAATTTGTAGGTTTCACTACTTAATTGTAATGTGCAGTGCGTGGTAGGCTGCAAAACTACTAGTTGACTGACCACTGGGAATATCAGTGCTCCGAAGGTTGAAATGTACAAATCAGATGAATGTGAAGGGCACAGAATTTCACTGAAGATTTGGGGAAAGAAAGGGAGATACACTGGAGATATTGCTGTATCTGACATTACTGACCACATTATTGAAATGGATTATTTGCACTACAATGTGAAAAATACGTTTTGTAAAAAAAAAAACTTTATTCCACTGCATTATTCAGACGGCTTATTTTAAGTTATTTTGTTAAGTTCATTTTTTAAGATATTTATTTTGTCCCTGCAATCAAGTAGATAATCTCCTATAGTAATTTGCTTAATAATTAGGGCATGTTTGATAGAGCTCCAACTCCTAAATTTAGCTTAAAGAGTTGGGTTTGGTCTAGAGTTATGGAGCAGTTTAAACTCAACTCCACATCTTTAGTTAATTTTGTAAGAGCGCTTCACCTCGCTCTACTTTCATTTTAGCTGGAGTTAAAACTGTTTGGCCGGACAACTATGCCAATCAGGCCCTTGTTTGGTTCAGAAAATTGTCTATCAATGTGTTGTATTAACACCCTACCCTACTGCTTCTGATTAGTGTTGACTTGATTAGGTTAAAGGATCAAATCAAACAAATGTAGTGCAGATGCAAATGGTCAGATATCTCTGATCCGCTAGCTGCTAGTACAGATGTAGGGATTGTTCATCATCAAACTCCTATCTTAATAGATGAAGGAATAATTATTTCGACCGCTACATAATTATAAATAGTGTTCACACAAATCGACAGAGCAAAGAGTTGGAGAGCCTGATGATTGGCGCAAAAAAGCAGGACACGCACCAACGCCGACGCACGAGTAGGTCAGGAAACACGACAAATTAAAAGCAAGAAATGAAGAAGAGAAACAGAAAGGCATGTAGGTGTATGAGTGATTGATTGATTGATACCGTGATAGGCACTAATGTAAAAACTTACATTAACAACATCATATGATCATATCAACCTAGGAAAAGATGGAAAGAAAGCATGCAGAGGCCATACATAAAGTGCCCCTGTCCTTTGTATACACATGTGCATTTTAACAGGATGGTCATTAATTAGTAGAAATTTAGCAAATCAGAGAGAGGACCAGAGGTGAGAGGTCCCAAATCATGTGCTTCAGACGGCTCACCACCACACTGCACTAGATGCATGATCATCCAACTTGCTGGCAAGTTATTTTCCAGATATTAGGTGCATAGCTAAATAATGTAATAGCGTAAATTTATCACTGATAAGAGAACTGGTACATTTTTGCATTGAAAAACTCATGCAATCGTTTATTTCTCTTTTTTGCCATACTGTTTGGTTTGTATCCAAAGACCTCCCTTTAGTGTCTCAAAATACCATTTTTACCCAAAAAAAAACCATTTTACCCTTAGAATTACACTGCTATGAGCTGAAATTAGCCCTCTCGTTTCCATTAAGTTGGTTTTCCGGACTACTAAAAGGTGTATTTTTTTACAATAATTTTCTATCTAAAAGTTTCTTTGAAAATCTAGTAAATCTTGTCGACGGGCTATATTCGCAGACGATATTCGTAAAGTATGGGGATCGTTGAAGGTATGCCATTTGCATAAAGAGAAGGGTGTGCCATTTGCCCATCCAACGCAAGTTCAGAAATGCAACACTACAGTGCTGTGTTTCTTGCACCGTAAGGGCTTAGCTACTTCCTGAAGAACGGCTCAAAAATTTCAGAGGTCAGCTGCGCCCATCCTGTTCCAGCATCGTCGCCGAGCCTCAAGAACACGTCTTCCAGAGGCACGCAAGTGATCATGTGGAGGATGAGGCGTTACTGCAGTGATCTCTGTGGTGGTCTTAGCTTATTCAGGCACTTCACTAAAGATTCTGCAGAGCCAGCTAGCTCCCATTCATTGCACTCTGCTCCTACTCAAAATGTGGTCAAAGGAGAGTAACGTCTTGTTTAATTTAGTTCAGATAACGAAATTAATACACTTCCATTGTCTGAAAACTATAGTAGTACTGTACTAGCTAGTACTGCTGCTCATCATCTCACTCCCTCTACTTCAATCTACTACTTAAATCATAATAACATATCATCCGCAGCCAAAACTTTGATTTTAAAACTTAAGTTCAGAGTTGGTTTTGGTATTTTTGTTATCGTAGTTAATTTTTTATATTGGCTTTTAAGTCACCATGAACATATATATAAAAGTTTTATTTACAAATTATATTTTGATCGCTAATAAGCACTAGAGCTTATAATCAGTTATATGTGAAATGATGGGATTGTTAGCACGAATTCTACTTACAAATGCACAAGAAATCAAGAACCAACATGAACTACAAGATGGTAAATTCAGCTGAACTACTGGCATGAAAAATAAGCAAGAAACTCTGCACTTGAAAAATAAGCATGAAAAATAAGCTGAACTACCTGCATTGCACTGCACACTTCCCATATTATCCAATACTGAAAGTCTGATGAAACTGAAACAGAGGCAGCAGAAGCAAACCCTCCCTTTGGTCTCACTCGTCCTCCCTTCTACGGATAAGAATACAGCTCAAATGTCCTCATTTTTTGCGTATTTATGTACGTATATGTACTTTCCATCGTACATATTTATTAGTGTACAGTAATGCAAACGGTTCAGTGCAGTGCAATTAAAGATAAATCCTTACAGGAGCACACGTGGCATATATCACCTGCACTTTATATCTGAAATAAAAACCAGAGTTGAGCCATCTACTATATAAGTAGGAGCTCTACCTACAAGTGTAACTGTCAGGTTGTACATGAGAATTAAACAAGAGCAAAAATCAAGTCAGGGCTTCTCTTGATCTATCACATAACTGAAAACGCCTTGCTACCAGCAAAGAGGTGTACAAATTCAGTATGAACTAAGAGATAAAATATCAAAATAAGAGTGTAGTATCTTTGTTTGGTTGTAGTTAGTAAGTGCAACAACCATAAAATATACCTGAAATTTGTATGGATATCTTTTCTTAGGAAGAAATTGTGCTCACTCTGACCTAAGCTCTGGTTTAAATTACACCACAATCTCCATATATGGCACATTATGAACTACTACTACTAATTAAGTCCTAATGTTGAGCAGTACTCGAGTACGTTTTATGTCCTTTTTGGTATAAAACAACTGTTCGAAGTAAAACCAGCATCAATTTCAAACAGTTTGAATCAAACCAAACAGCTAATTGAAAAATGCGCTGGCTAACTGCTACAGCGTCAGCTCTCTGTGGCCTCTGCCCCAATATAATGAAAACATGTGATTTGTACTATTTTCAGTGTTGCGTATGAGAGGATCTTATATTCTTGTTTAATTGTGTCATGTCTTCTAAATGGTCTACAGTTTTCGATAAAACTAAATTGTCTACAGTTGAAATTAGTACATCTCCACATGAGTTTATGACATTACCTTTGGTCTATAAACAGTTAACTGTATATAAAATTTGTTTGGACAGATAGAGCATTCTGTACCAGTGCAAACTAATTATTTCCGCCCAAAGAAACTGAAACATGAGAAAAGCATAATAAAGAGCACATTTTATACTCTCTCCATATTTTAATATATGACGTCATTGACTTTTTAACTAACATTTGACCATTCGTCCCTAAATAAAACTCTAGAAAATAAAATATGGTTGTTTCTTTTGTTGCCACAATTATGACATGCCACGGTTTCTTTTTCATCCTTGGACCGAGACACGTTCTTCAGCTAAACATGTTTGTAAGTCAAGTTAACATGTCCTTATAGTATGTAAAAAAAATACTACTGGGTCATGGTGGGGGAAAAACATTTAATTTACCTAACTTAAAGGCACAAAGCAAAATGAGTGCAATTTCAGTTGTGTAAAATCAGTTTTCTTTTTTATTACTTTTAATTCACTTAGTAGCTTCATCTTAAGAATAATATTTCCATTCTTGAAAAGGGACATGGAGGTACTATATTCTCTGGTATAAAATTTGATACATTTAGATACTAAGTAAGATAAGAAAATTTTAGCGTAAAATTTAGATACCTCGAGATACTTTTATCAGTGGCCGTAAAATTCCTTTTCACTTAAATACTACTCCGTACTATATATATACTATTATTGGGTGATGATCTTATATCATAATGACACTATTATTATGTAAATGCACTATTATTATAGTAACATATACATAATGGTAGTATTATTATGGTAGAGGATGTTAACTCATTAATGGTATAGAAAAGAGCTAAAGAAGCATAAAAGTTTTGGAGAAATTGAAGGGCTGAAGTGCAAATGTGGCCACCGTATTTATCCCGCTTCTGTCACTCTTGTCTGTCCCCGCCTTCCCTCGTCTCCTCGCCGGCCATGGCCACCACTCACGCGCCACCGCCGCCGCAACCACCATTGCCGCCGGCGCCGGCACCTCTGCCGTTGTCTCACCGCCGCCACCGTGCTTCCTCCTCTTCCTCCTGCTCCCTCTCCACCGCCTCCTCCTCCTCCACCGCCTCCTCTCCCTCCCCGTCCCCTCGCGGCCGGACCACCAACACCAGCGCCGCCGCCGCGACAGCCGCCACGCCGACGGCCACCTCCGTCGTCCCGTTCTCGTGGGAGCACCACCCCGGCATCCCCAAGACCTCCCTCCACCCGTCCAACTCCCCGCCCACGCCGCCGCTCCCTCTCCCCCCGGCGCCGCTCCGCCGCGCGCCGGCACACCCGTCGTCCCGCCACCACCACCGACGGCGCCACCACCACCAGCGCGGCGGCGCCATAGACGCGCCACACTCCGACCCCTTCGCCGCCGCGCTCGCCGAGTGCACCAGGGAGCGCTCCACCACCGCCATCGACGACCTCTTCCCCGCGCCGCCGGCGCCACCGCCGCCGCCATCCTCCTCGCGCCGCTGGTCACTCTCCGCCGCCGCCGGCGGCGGCGGCGGCGTCTTCGGCTCTCTCCTCGACCTGTACGGCTGCAAGAGCGCCATGGCCGTGGCGGAGGGCGCGTTCGTCGTGCGGCGGCCGGTGGCGGCGGCGCGTCCGTCTGGGCCCAGACGAGCTGCGGGCCAGGGCCGGGCCCGGGCCGGGCGGTGACGTGGACGCATCGGGCGAGATCGATGGGCTCTCGGTTAGGTACATAAATAATCCGTGTGTGAACTCAAAAACTCTCAAAGTGTTATTACTCCTATTTGGGATCTAAAGGAAAAGAGATTTCCTACCTTTCTCTCTTTTTTATTCTTCTTTTTTTAAATTTTCTTCGAATTTCGCCTGTGTTCTGATGGTGATTTGAAATGGAGATAGTACATCTCACCTTGTGGTATGGCGATCTATATATAAAAAATTAAGCATGTTCATAGTGGTTCTTGTTGTTGTATATATGTATAAAACATCTTTTTTTTAAAAAAAAAACCTCCCCATTGTTAGTTTTACATTTTGATAATAAGGTTTGGATTCACACGGTTTAGTATATATAGTGGAGAAATTGATTATGCACATAAATAACACATAGACAACCTTTTTTTTTTTCAAAATTAGCCATACATATGAGAAATGGCCTTCAATAATGTTATAAAAGAAAAAAAAAGGCTAGAAAATATGGGTTAATCATGCATACATACAGCTCAGATCGATGAAGTTCATGATACAAAAAATTTAAGGTAGCACTCCATTAAAAAAGATATTCTCGAATGCGACCATTCTCAATAATATTTTCCATAATTCGTCCTCGCAGTGGAGGAAAAACAGCTCCAAACTTCACCATAGGGCCCATATACAACATATAAAATATAGTCACACAAATAATAACTCTAAACCGTGTGCTATGTTCTCACTACCTTATGGATTATCACAGTATGCTTCTCAAGTTCCTACATATAAAGTACTTCATCTGCTTCAAAATATAAGCATTTAAGAAACATGTAAAAATTCTTATATTTAAGTAAGTTCCTAAATAGTATGTTTTTGTAAAATAATTCCCCATCAATATTTTAGAAAATACCTTTTAATCAACTTAATTATCATATTTCTGATGTTTAATTTATTCGTTTGTGCCCTTAAATAATGGCCATAAAATCAGCTTTTCTTCGTCATCATCCACGGTCTATAAAAACCGCATCCTAAGTCCAAAAAATAAGCATGGAATACAGGTTTCTCGAATACTTCTTGCTTCAAGCAAATATTACCCTAATTTATTTATACCAAACTTGTCCTACAATTAACTAAAAAAAACCTTTCTCCACTGCATTCAACTTCAGCCGATCGATCCGAATGTTTTCTTTTTAATATTGTGGGGACAAATGTATAGTACATGCTTGTGAAGTAGTTGTGTGTGCATATTTTTATGCCAATGCTGGTGAGAGTGGGCAGACAACCCTAATAATTTAGCAATAAACCTCATCGAGATCTCAACGCAGCCAAGCGATTGCAAGCACAGTATAGTGTAGGCGAATTAAGATCAAGATATGATCATGATATCCAGCTGGAAGCTGCCATTCAGAAAAAGTAGATGCATGGATGGATATATATGTGACATATGTCAGGTTGCTAGTTCGATCGAGCTGAGCACATGGCTGATTACTTGCACTAGTTTACTGCACTAATTACCGGGCATAATTGACTTTTGCAATTACATAATTCATTTTGATGGATCGATGCTTTAGTTTATCTCTGCTGCCCATGCATACTGTAATTGTCACTTGCATGCCGGTCAATTCTTGTTCTCATACTGTAATTGTCACTTGCGTACAGATCGAAATTAGTTTAATTGTCGGGAAATCGTGATGTATTTATCTTAAGGAACTCAGTAATTAAGAAGTAATTCTTACAACAAAGCACACAGTACTTAATTTGATCTAACATCCAGGCAGCTGCAGAAAAGAGAATCACCATCAGTACTTCAGATCTGAGAAGCTAGAGTTTGGTACATTATTTAGGACTAAATGTCATCAGTTTTAGATCCTGGATCTCTTCTTACCAAAATTCAATCGTAGATTGCTCGAAATAAAAGATAAGAAAAATGAATCAAAATGAAAATATATATGGATTAAAGGTGATTTCATGATGAAACTTTGATAAAGGCCTAGACTAAGATTCACTCTATTTTCTCTGCTACTAGTTATTACTCTGAAAATTGCTCGTACAAGTTAATTTATGAGTGTATGCCGTCCCACGGTAGCAGATACTGTAGATTCGAAGAGATCCCATCCTTAATTAACCTGCAGTACTGTTATTGTCGTCAGTACTATGCGTTTACTGCTGATTAATCACGTGCTTAGACACAGTTTACCATGGGACCACCAACATAAAGGCCAGCTCTTGAGTCTTGACTCGACCTGATCGAGTTCTGCATAAAAACAGAGATCTTGTTCAAATTAAACCTGATCAAATCCAAATAAAGGCTCAAATCAACATATATGTGATAGTACGATGAGAAGTTCAGACTGTAGTAGCAAATTCAGTTTAATTTTCAAATGATATTAGGCCCGGATTCAGGGGTGGATCTAGAACAAGATTTTAGGGGGGACTCATATCCTTCTTCCTTCTGCAGACCCTCTACTCTTCATTTTCTCCCTATTCTTCCCCTTTCATCTCCCCTTCTAACAATAATGATTCAGCGGGGTAGGGGGGACTCGAGTCCCCCCAGCATCCACGCTGGATCCGCCCCTGCCCGGATTCAATCATGACTCATCCCCGTTCAATTAATGAAAACCACAAGCAGATAGCTATAAAAAATGAACAAAATGAAAACCATTTGCTTAACATTGAATGGGGATGAGTCATTTGCTTAACAATAAAAACCATTTTGTTCAATGAAAATGAGAAACCATTTGCTTAACATGAAAACCACAAGCAGAGATATAGGTATCAAAACTGGACGAAATGTCACTGGTTCACTAAGAAAAAGAACTTTCTACGTACGGTCAATATAGTTTGCATGAGTCATTGTAACTAACCTGTACTAACTACTAGTATTCACTAAGGTTGTCAAAACCTATAAAGGATGTTCTAGGACAAAAATATAAAGGTCAATCAAATTGTTGTTTAATTGTCCAAGCTGGCAATTTGACTGCTGGGCAGTGAACCAATAATTAATGGCGAGCAGTTGGCTAACTCTTAGAGTTCCTGCGTTAATTTAACAGCCCGAATTCTCTTCTGTATGCTTCTCCGCAATGCAGGAATTTTATACAAATTAGTTTAATTCCTAAATAATCCTGTTAAATTCTCGTGAAATTAATTTCTTTGTTTCAAAGGAGGCATTAATTAGTTCTCAGTTCTTCAAGAGGATATGAGCGATGCTGATCAATCTGAGAAATGGGAGTACATCTGTACATGAAAGAATAAGTCCTTGTATATATAACGGTCCAACCTATTTAGCAAATACTCCCTGAATAATATTTTCTGACCCACCAGGCATAATTATTTTGTTGGTACACTATGTAGAATTTCTAGAGGATATCAATAATGTAATCGATGCAAGTTGGTAGCAACTTATTTTCGTAGTTCTCAACCCATATATAGTAGTAGTCTGGTAGATCGATCTGAACATTGAAATTTGATACTACACACTACAAGTAGAGTAAAATACGTACTGCACATATATAATCAATGCCATTATGATTTGTGTTTTGATCCGTATAGTGCCTTTGGATCGATATGATAGTGTACGTTCTTTGCATCGTCGTCTATTCATATCTGAGTTAGATCGGCGCCATCGCTTTTGAAATTTCCTTTTTTTATATAAAAAATAGCATCTGATCTGATCCATCAAAGAAATATTAATTAACTTTTCGTAATAGTTATGCACCCTTTCTCCCAACTTAACATAACTTCAATGATTAGCATGCTAGTACGTACGCATTGCATGGACCATCCCATCATTACACAACACCGTCTTGTTAATAATCTAAATTATGCACCAAATTTGTTTATGCGCATAATTAATTTACGAAAAGAAATATAAATAAATATGCTTACATTGCACTCTACTCCTGGGGGAGGCCAAACCAACCGACTTTTGGTACACTATTGTACCACACACTGTATAGATTGTTCCATACTATACACGTGTACCCTGTACACGTACGCATATACATACATATACAGATATACTATACGTTCCGTCCCATGTAAGTACGGAAACCTAACCTTTATTTTTGGATCAACCACGCATCTACACTATAAATTAGATTAAACTAAGGACTAGTGATTTGAATTTTTCCTGTCGTGCCAATAATTAATTTGCCGGCAGATAAATTGTTTAATTTTGATTCTTCTTGTGGAATGAATCGATATGAACAATTAATGGGCTATTTTTAGGTGGCCCAGTAAGTAGAGAGAATTAAGCGAGATGAAGTTGAGGCCCATGTGGAGAGTGCAGAGTGCACTAAGATGAATTTTAGTTTTGGGCCAAATTTTGTCTTCTATGTGAGCCCACATAATTTTACCCAGGAAATGATGGGCCGAGTGTGACTTCACTGTAGAATCAGCCTTCTTCAATCGTGTGATTCTAGACATTCCAAACAAAATTCTAAGGGAAATCCTAGCTGAAACCTCACAAAAATTTACGATGAACTACTTACTTCAAGTTGAAAGGGGTGATTCAAGGCTAACGCTTTCGACAAAAACCGGTAGAAAATCGTGAAATTTCGAGGTTTTGACAAGGGATGAAAGCATATACTGAGTGAAATTTTCAATGGTTTTTGAGAATTTAAATTCGAAACAGTAAATTCAACCAAGATTTGTCGAAATAAGGTGGAAATTTTCATACGCTCAATCGCAAAGTTGAACTCGGTGATTTTTTAGTTAAATTTGGGAAGAATGGAGGCGAAGAAGAGGGAGATCGGTGTCGGAGAAGACAATGGCGCTCAAATTTTTTCACTCCAACTGAAGATGGTTACTTACACCGGATCATTTTTTTAGTTTAATTTAATTAATTTGGCAGTAATAATACACTTGACACCTCGATCCATCAATGGATCAGGAGAAAAACAGAAAAAAGAAAGAAAAAAAAATTAAAACGAAGAGGACGAGAAGAAGGCAGAAGCCATGGTCGATCTCCATGCCAACAACTACACCATTGTCAGATCGAGCCGTACGTCTTCTCCGTCGCCGGCGGCGCACGCTAGCTCGCTCGCTCGCCGGCGTTACGTCTTTGATTACACTTCGCCGGAATTAATTAATAGAGCTTACTACCTAATTACCACGGGCGGCGATCGAACCAAGGTGCTCGATCACTTCCTGACCCGGCGGAGCGCGAGGTAGGCGAGCAGCCGGTAGGCGAAGAACATGGCGACGAGCGCGGCGACGCAGGCGGCCGGGCTGGCCTCGCCGCGGGCCTCCTCCGGCGGGAGGAGGCGGGCGAGGCGGCCGCTGTACTGCACGGCGATGAGCAGCCGGTAGCAGTAGTAGGTGAAGGAGGTGTACTTGGCCCACGCCATGAACCCCGGCACGTTGTGGACGTAGAAGCCGCCGGTGAGGAGGTAGGCGAGCATGACGACGGTGACGAGCGTGGAGGCGCGCTTGGCGTCCATCATGACGGCGCCGACGGCGAGGCCGAGCCCCTCGGCGACGAGCACGTAGGAGAGGATCACGGCGAGCGTGAGCGCGAACGCGGCCGGCGACGGGTTGAGCCCGGCCATGAGGTAGACGATGACGGTGAACGCGGCGGGGAGCGCGAGCTCCATGGGGAGGTCGCCCGCCATGCGCGACATGAAGTAGGACGAGAGCGCGTACATCCCCGACGCGCGCTCCCGCGCCAGCACGGGCCGCTCCTGCGGGAACGCGAACACGGCGTTGAAGGAGGCGAACACACCCCAGAAGATGGAGACGAAGAAGAGGAGCCCCATCCGGTCGCCCACCGCCGCCGGCGACGACCGCCACCACATGGCCCCCGCCACCAGCGCCGGCGCGATGATCTGGAACAGCCGCAGCGACGTGAACGCCTCGTGCCGCCGCTCCTTGAGGCTCCGCCGCAGCAGGATCGCGAACTGGTTCGACCAGCTCGTGCACCCGCTGCAGCTCTCCGCCGCCGGCGGCGGTGGCTGCTGCTCGCCGCCGTGGACGTCGCCGGCGTTGATGGACGCCTTCACCCGCGGCGCGAGCACTCGGTTGTACGACGAGATCAGCGACTGCTTCACGTTGCCGCCATCGGCTGCGTTGCAATTATCATACTCTGTTTGAGCGAATCCTGCATAGAAAAAAAACAGAGCAGAAATGTTCAGTGTCAAAGATCATAAGTAGGATGATTGATCATAATTTCTTAACAATGTAGTAACAATCAGAAAAAGATCAAATAAAGGTAGGCACAATGGAAAATAATCACTCCTGAAAATTCCATCCATTCATTATTTTCCTTTTTGTTTTTTGTTTTTTATTTTCTTTAAATTGTTTTTCTGCGCATTTTGCAGTTTATGTGTATTCCCAACTCCCAAGCTGATAGTGCACGATATGGCTTCCAAACGAGTAGGAGTTCTGCCAAACGGGACCTTGATCGGGCCATGAACGCCGCTCCCCCTCCACCTAGGGATCGGTAGACCCAATCGTGCCACGACGCGGTTGACCTCGATATAATCGGATCATGGAGACACCCTCTCTCTCTCTCTCTCTCTCTCTGCCCCATTGCTTTGATATGCTAGACTGGCTACAAGGCACTTACTTAAGTGGCCAGGTGCCAAAGGAGGGGCCAAAAAGGGGGATAGCTTAGCTCTCTACCCTTCCAAAAGGAGAAGTATTGGTACCAAAAAAATGATTCCTTCTGTCTAAAGTGCCATCACCATGAGCCAGGGGGGAGCATAATTTTCTTAGTCTAGTGAGACAGGCACTTGGAACCATATCCACACTGCATATCATGCCCATATGCTCCATTGATTTTGCTTGATCCCAAGGTAAAAGAGAAGCTGCTAATTCTCATACTTAAAAAAAAGCTGCCCAAGCTAACTACTAATTAAGCTAGCAAAGGAACCAGATCCAACTGAAAGCTGCCACTAGTGTCGGATCTCATCATCTTCTGCAGCCACCACAACCAACAAGATTGGTGGAAACAGAATGGATATCCAATATGACATTACCCGCTAGCCCGGCCGCCGTTCGGTGACCGGGCTAGCGGGTTTACCGGTAGCGGGTTCGGGCCCGATATGAGTGATGTCCAGCAGCGGTCCAGCCCCACTGATGCTGGTAAGGTAAGGTAGATAGTGCCCTAATTCCACTCTCCTCCATCCATGACAGGTGTCCAGTTGAGTTGGGTGTGTGATCTTTCAACCATAAAGTGCTTTGCACAAAAGGTATGAAGGTGAGAAGGCTAGGGCACTCACCTCCATCCACTCTTTCTTTTTTTTTCTCCCTTCAAAAAACTTTTATCTCCTCTCTTGCATGAACTTTTTCTTGGGTGCACTCCACACTTACTCTCCAGGTGTGTTTACTTGTCTCCTTTGTGATCATTGGTCTAATCCTCACCATTCATATCTACTACACCCAATTAAAAGATAATCCCTTGATTTATAACTTGCCTAATTTGATCCTCATTCAAATTGAGCAAATTTAGTGAAATTTATGTTTCCTGATTTTTTCCCTGCTTTTGTTGAATAAAGTAAGAAAGTAATAATAATAGAGTATAATTAGTGTTTTGGGTTAATTACCGTTGGCAAGGTCGAGCATGAAGTCGGCGGGGTTGACGTGGAAGGCCGGCGAGAAGCCGACGGCGGCGAAGTAGTCCATGGCGTCGCGGCCGGCGCCGAAGTAGAGGCAGGTCCCCTCGGCGAGGAGGAGGACGGAGTCGAACATGCGGTAGACGCGGGTGGACGGCTGGTGGACGGACATGACGACGGTGCGGCCCCTGCGCGCCAGCGACGAGAGCGTGGCGACGAGGCGCGCGGCGGCGGTGGAGTCGAGGCCGGAGGTGGGCTCGTCGAGGACGAGGAGGCTCGGGTTCACAAGCAGCTCGTGCCCGATGCTGACGCGCTTCCGCTCGCCCCCCGACACGCCGCGGACGAACGCGTTGCCGACGATGGTGTCGGCGCACGGCGCGAGCCCCAGCTCGGCGATCACGGCCTCGGCGGCGGCGGCCTTGGCGGCTGCGGGGGAGGAGGCCGGGAGGCGGAGCATGGCGCAGAAGAGGAGCGTCTCGCGGACGGTGAGGTGGGGGTGGAGCACGTCGTCCTGCGCCACGAACCCCGTGCGCCGCTGCACGGCGCGGCACGGCGCGCGCCCGCCCGCCAGCACCGTCCCGGCGTGGCGGCCGGCGAGGCGGCCGCCGAGGATGGAGAGCAGCGTCGACTTGCCGCTCCCCGATGGGCCCAGCACCGCCAGCACCTCCCCCGGCCTCGCCTCGCCGGTGATCCCCTTCAGTATCGTCCTCTCCTCCTGCGCGCCACCGCCACCACCTGTTCCCCCGGCGTGCGATATCCTCCCCGGCGGCGCCCCCTTCGCCGCCGCCGCCGTGGTCGACACCTTGACCCGGTACGCCACGTCGATGAACTGAGCACATCATCAAGCATCCATCCAACCAAAGATCAATCAATCACCTCAACCACACAGAGCAGCATCTATCCGTACCATCGATCGATATGTACCTGGAGATTGAGCGGCGTGCAGACGGAGGACAAGAAGCAGTCCATCTTGGACGGCGGCGGCGGCGGCGAGGGCGAGTGCGGCGTCGCCGGAGACGAAGGAGGAGGAGGTAGCACGACTACGCCGCCGCGGCCGCCGCCATGCAAGTCCTGGCCATTCGGAGGCATCTCACCGCGCAATCAAACACGAAGCAATCAAACCTAGCAGAAGCAAGCAAGCAAAGCAGTGGATCGGATGAACTGATCGGCGAGAATGGCGGAGGAGGTGGTGGTGGAGTGGAGGCCGAGGAGGAGCAAGGCGAGGGGGAGGGGTATTTATGGGCGAAGGTTATGAGGGCCACGTCACTGGGTGGAGAGGGTGGAGAGGGGGCACGTGGCGGGAAGAGGAGGGCGAGTGGAGGGGTGGGCCCACCAGCTTTTTTTTTTTTGGCGGGAGAGCGGTGCGATGCTCTGCACTCTGCAGTGCACACCGTGAATGCTCTGCTTCGTTTCCTTTTTTTTTCCTTTTTATTTTCTTTTTTCTTTTTATTTTTTGGGGGTGTGTTTAGCGTGGTGGCATCAGCAAGCAGCAGCAGCAGCAGCAGCAGCAGCTGCTACTACTACCATTGGGGGCACCGGATCTTCTGTGACGAAGGGTGCATAGTGGTGCTCGTGCTCGACTCGTGCGCGCGCGCCATCCACCGTTTTTTCTTTATAAGTTTGTCGGTCGGTGAAATATATTGTAGCTCGTCGACTAATAAGTTTAAGATGGTAGATAAAGTGGATTAGCTTTTTACTTGCCGAAGGGTTGGATGGTACTTGAGATTTTAATGTGGAATATTTTTATCTAATAATTAATTGTTGGATCTGGTGATCCTAATATGGGTTATATATGGCTCACGGTTTTTTTTAACTTTTTATCTATAACATCTCTTTGTGTGTCGTTGACATGCTCAGTGACGAATCTAAACATTTCTTAAGTGCAAATAAAATGATAAAGTATTGGAGAACATCCACCGTATCATTGACTAAATCCTTACATTTACTTTATATTATACTCTGAGTGTAGCATAGCGATTAACCATAGTGAATAATATAGGATATAACATTGTACCAACAAAACTCTTGTATGAAAGGTCAATACATGCAATAAATATACATTACTATGACTGCAGAATCTCACGATTATCACGATTACCAAGGTATTTAAAACCTCTCATGGCTTCTAACAATAACCTCATGGTTTTCACGATAACCATGCGGTTACCACTGAATAGCGATAAGCCAATAACCCTCACCAAAACCATAAGGAAAACCTCGTGCATGATAGGGAGGATAATGTTCCACTAAGTTATGGGGTTTACATGTGAGTCCGGCCGAGTATGGCGTGGTCTTTGATCAATTTACCTAAACTTATTCATGGATAAAATATTAATTCCTAGATGGTTTGATATTGATGATATATGTCCCATTCTTTTTCTCAACGTTAGTCATGACATTTGATATGTCATTTGATTACGCCAAACTATTTTATTAAATATACTTCCTCCATTCCAAAATATAAGGCACAACCACCATTAACCCAAAAACCAAGAAATAATTATTATCATCTTGTAGTTTGGATCATCCTAATAAATATAATGCATGCATCCAATAGGATTAGATAGCATGAGAGTGAATGATTTAAAAAAGTAAAAGTTTAATGGAGAAGATGTCATAGTTAATTACATGCTTGCATGTATGCCTTATATTATGGAACCTCTAAGAAAAGTGGTTGTGCCTTATATTATAGAATGGAGGGAGTATTAATTACTCTCTCCTGTAAGAAACATTTAATGCACTCCCTTCATCCCTAAATATTCAGACAAACATAAAGCTAAGGCTAGCTAACTATATCTTTTAAAAAGACAAATTAAATCTATATATATAAACCTTACAAAATTTGTAAGCGGGATATCTGGTCAAACGCGGTGCCTCGTACATGACAACATTCGCTATGCCAGCTGATCAATCGATCATATATAGCCTCATAGATTGGGGATGCCGGATGATGCGTGCGTCTGCAAAATGAGCGAACGTCACGCATCCAATGCAATGCGTCCAGGCCGGTCAGCCAGCAGCAGCAGCAGCAGATAGCAGCTACCCCCAACCGTTTCAAGCTTCGCCGGTTTTCAGACTCTGATAGACCAAGTCTGGGGGAGCTTGTTTCAACTACAGCTTTTCTCAAAAACTGCTTCTGCTAGAAGCTGCCCTAAATAGTCCACAGCTTCTGAGAATGTGTAGTTACAGATTCTAAAAAATGAACTAAGAAGCCAGAAGCTAAAGAAGCTGGGTTTCAGAGCTTTTCCAGATTCTCAGAAACTGGCTACCAAACAGCTGCTTCTCAGAATCTCAAAGTTCTCCAAACAGGCCCATATTCAGCTAAGCTAGAGCTTGCGTAGCTTGACAGGTGCTGGCCGGTTTCTGACCTCTTTCGTCGACGACGTTTCGATGCGTATGTGCAGCAGCGGCAGCACAGTAGTTGTTGTTGTTGGGAATGAAACGCGTGTGTTCTTGCACAATCTTTCAGAGTCGATCGATCGATAGATTATTCCGGATATGCACGCATACGTTGCAAACTTTTTTAAGGATTCACCTACTTTTAGAGTAACTTTCGTCTAGGACATTGACACCGTGGAAGAGCCTGTAAAACGTTTTCATGTAATTCACATGTTTGACTGAAAAAATAATAATACTCAATCGATCTATCCCACAATAAATGTGATCCTAAAATCCTATAAGAATTTAATAATGATAAAAGATGGTCAAACTTGTCCTAATTAATAAGGAAATACTATGGCTAGATGGATAAGTATGTAAGAGGTAGTGAAGCGAAAGAATTCATGGGATCGATGGCAGGTAAGGGGATATAAATTAATCATCTTATTTTGGGATATATTTTAAAGTCCACAAATCAACTTATTATTTTAAACATAAGTTTCGTTTTGAAATACGAAACATTATCCATATTAATAGTGGAATTATTTTGAGGCTTCTTTAGAACTTAGCACTAGCAAAATGAAAACCCCGAACATGGAAAACACAAGATTTTTGTTGGAGTGCATATACAAAATACAAATTTAATAAAACAAAAACTTAGGAATATATATTTATGTCGGCTACAATAAAACATAGGATTTGGATAAAATATACAAATTTAAAGGAAATTTTTAAGTGACCGGACCTTATGCTACTCAGCTCCCTCTATTTCATATTACTTTTCGGTGTAGCATTCAATTTTTTTTATTAAACTACTTGTCCTTCTCATATTCCAAATCAGTTTTAGAGGTGACCTTCACTCTCTACATTTCATCAATGCAGTCACCACTCTTATCAGCCCATCTCAAGTTCTAAACTAATAAGAGTTAATGGCTTCTTTGAAAAAAAACAATGGCATGTACTTAATAATGTTAACATTGTAATTGTCACATCTCCTTGATTTGTATGAGATTTGCTAGAATGACAAGTAATTTAAAATGGAGGGAGTAATTTTTTCATCCAAAAGCTCTATGCATTGAGTCATCCTATAAGAGAAATTCATACATAAGATTTTGAAAGCTCCAATTCTATATATATGTATTCCAAATTGAGCCAAAAATAAAATTCCTATTGGTGAAATCGTACAAAATTAGTTTGTCTAGAAACTCTTTGTCCCAAGAATTCCTCCATATCCCAAATATCTTGGGATATACTCCCTCCGTACTCATAAAGAAAGTCGTTTAGGACAATGTTTAAATCAAACCTTGGGAATATAAATCATAAATAACTCTCATGTTGTTGAGTTTGAAAATGTAAAAATTATATGAATAGATTTGTCTTGAAAAATACTTTCATAAAAGTATACATATATCAATTTTTAATAAATATTTTTATAGAAACAAGAAGTCAAAGTTGTGTTTTGGAGATCGTGTCGCTATCCTAAACGACTTTTTTTTATGAGTATGGAGGGAGTACATATATGTTGTCATGCCAAGTACGTAAGGGCACCCACAATGGTAAAGTAAGGTGCTCTCTATAAAATATGTACATCTCAGCAATAGACTAGATTAATAGTAAATCACCTCAGTAGTATGTCTACACGGGTATTTATAGCTCTCTAATCCATTGCCTTGTTTTTCTCTATAGACTATCTCCAGGTTAGTAGATAGTTTTGCTCTCTCTCTTCATTTAATCTCTTCCAAATAGGAAAATATGCTGACATGGATATCTTGTAGATAACCTATAGATAACCATTGCGGGTGCCCTAATACATTGTGACAGCTAGATCTAAATTTGGTGAATATTTGCACAAAAACCTTTAATGAAGCTAGGTTTGACTACCCAAAACAGTGAATTGAATTTATCATCTACCTACCACATACTATACATCTGGAGGTAAGAGAACGTCACACATTGCAGAGGCAAAAAGAAAGAGCTAAGCTCTCTGCATGCGTGACTCCATGAATGCAGTTAGCATATCTATAGCTAGAGCCATCCAGCTCATAAATGATCAGAAGTTGAGGTAGCAAGCAGAGAGAGAGAGATCAGCCCTTGTTTTGTTGTTGGCGCGCGTTTCCTTCCTCGAAGACCATACCCCTCCAGGAAACCAGCAGGATTCTTTGCTTCGATGCTACCTCTTGATCTTCTTGCAAATTGCATGCTACGTGTACACCTCTCTTGCGTGCATGCAAACAAAGTGTACGTTACTGATTAACTCTCGATCCCTATGCAAAGCATCTTTTTGCTCCATGCATCGTTACTGCATAAACGATTTTTTTTTATGAGAGCCCCGTATAGGTTACGGGCGGTCTAAAAAATCGACCAATATTTTCGTATGCAAAAACCAACTTTTAGAAACGTACGTGCACCACCTACATAGAAAAATAGTGCCTTTTACATACACCTGGTGCAGAAAGGCCGAAGGTCCTCATGTGAAAAATCTGTTTTGACCATCTGGAAAAATTATTTCTGTATTAGTGCATCTAGATGTGTACTATGTATATACTTTATATACTACTAGCTGGTACCATGCATGCTATATATGTACTCCATTTTTTTTTAAAAGAATCAATTTCTATGCTGATTATGAATTCGACTATGTGCTTGTATATATAGATTCATATAGCCGATTAGTATATGATGCTAGCAAGGTACGTAGCACACGTGTGCATATAAATGCTGCATGCGTACACGTAGCTAGTAGAGTTTATTTGTTGGGTAATCAACTGCTCGATCGATCGTGTACGTTACAACTTTTCCACGACGATCGATCATTACTTACTTGTCTAAAAG